TTCGTATCCCGAGGTACCACTGTATATTGTTCTCCTACCTTTTGAGCCCGTAATTTAAAAACACCTTTTGCCCCTGGCCAGCCTAGTAGGATGCGAATATTGCTCATGTATATAAATGAAATGTTTTCTTTGTTTGATTTTGGGAGGGGGGGCAGGGGCTGCTGCAATTGAGAGGCCCTTGGCAGATTATATTCATAACAATAAAACACCTATGATACAGTTTCAGTTACCCAACAATAAGCAATAAGGGTCTCCTAAATTAAACTACTGATAAAATTATAAATATAATGAACCAAAAAGCAATATAAATAGATGGCTGCTTCCATCAATGAAGGCCCTCTTCAACAATTCCGTTTCTAATCATTTCCTGTAGCCTAACAGGGTAGGAGCTGATTGAATTCAAGGGAGATAACATTGGTGTTGCCACAGAGAAACAATGTTTGCATGTCTCCACCCCCCTAATCTCACAAGAGTGTGGGATCACAAGAGTGTGTACTACAGATAGATACTCCTGGGAGCTTCACATGAGGCAGGTTGAAATTGGATGAGGGAGGCAGCCTAAGCCCAGTTTTAGCAAAGTCTTAAAAGTGGAAAGAAATATATATATCTTATTTGTTACAAATGCAATTTTCATGTGAATAAATGTATTAAATAAAAGTATTAATGTATCACTTAGCCTATTGTTAGATGACTATGTGGTGCCTTGGTAATAAATTCTGGGTAAACGCACGTTATGCTACTTCTGGTTGTGAATTTTTGCATGAGTTTGCAGCTTCACTTGCTATTTTCAAGTCTTGCCTTTTTTTCTATTTCCTGAGGTATGATTTTATGGCTGTTGGTATTTTTCCTCCATTCTGTACCAAGGGTTTTATAACATGACTTTGTATGGGTGTGCAGAGAAAAATTGTACAGCTTCAGTGAAATTGGGTCATATGTGCATGATTTAGGAGTAGAAACAGAAGAGAAAATACATCCTGCTTTTTTTTTTTATTGTCAAAATTGTGTTTTATCCTTGTCCAATTTCCTTTTGTTAAGCGACCCAAAGTGGAATTAATGTTTATTTTTAGTAAGGAGATCTTGTTAGATGAGAGATTGCTTTCTTTGAAAATATTGCTTATTCTTCCTGTTGCGTAGGTCTTTTTCAAAAGCCCCAGTAGCTCTTCTTATACAGAGGCAGGTTTTGAAAGTGGAGAAGACTCTACTGAGCAACAAAGCGGAAAATGGTGAAAATAGAATGGGGTTGCTGTGTGTCCATGTGCTTGTTCACATTTGTGTGGTCTTGTCTTGGTGGCCTGGGAGCACAGTTTGGTTATATGAGTCAGCACTGAAAAGGGTTTCAGCATAGACATGCACATTGAGGTCTTCAGCATGAGCCCAAATTGACCTGAAAGGCATGCCTGTACAGTCCTAATTATTTCCTTGTGTTTGTTGTTTAATTTTAGTGAATCCCAAGGAGGTGACTAGGCCAAGAAAAAAAAAAAACCTCTGGCATTATGTAAAAACAACAACAACAAAAAAGTGAAGTAAAAATCTTCCAGAGAAGCAAAGTAGATGGAGGATGGGGCAATGTTACTATGATTTGGTTAAACAAGGTGTAATACGGAACTCTGGTGTCATATATTGCACTCACAGGAAGTGAATAGAAAAGCTGAAGTGAACTTCAGAGAGAACTGACATCTCCTTCTGTTGAAGCCATCCCAGGTCTGTTTCCTTATGTTTGCAGCAACCCTTTTGGTCTGTTCCCTAGATGAGAGGTATAACGTTCCGAAGTTGGTGCAGTTGGACTAGAATGTTTGCATGTGACATTGATTGGCTCAATTGTTGCAGAAGCCGAGAATTGTTCATAAATCCTTCAGAAGCTCAGAGAGCAAAGATCTGACTTAGAACAATTTAATCCACCTTTTTTATGAAGGAAGGGGAAATTGTAAATTTGCCTGGGAGCAACACTGCACCCAGGCCTGAGGCTCAGGATAATTGTCTCAAGGAATCGTATGACATTTGGAGAAGCTAAGGAACTCATGGCTGAATTGTGAGAAAAGGGAACCTGGAGAAAGGGGAAATGGAGGAAGAGACAAGAAAAGGAACTTGTGAGATAAAATGTGCTAGAGATACTTTCCAGTGTGAAGGGCTATGTGGCGGGAGGGAAGCTAGCGAGGCTGACCAAGGGACAGGATCACAAGGAAGTGAGACAAAGTAATTTGTTTATTTAAAGCTGGGGAATCAATGGATTGAAGAAGGACAAGCAAAAGGGGAGAGTTGGCTTGTGACAAAGCCAAATCTGGAATCTCAGAGCAGCTTTCCAAAGTTTGTACAGTGTTGGATTATAAGGAAATGGTTAGGCACAAACAGTTTAGAGATAATAGTTTGTGGGGACTGTGGGTCAGAGAAGAAGAGGCAGAAAGTTACCATATACACCGATACTGAATTGTCCAAAGAAAAAGAATCTTGCCAGATGTGGCTTTATTGTCACGGACAGTAAACAGGTAAGTAGGAGGAATCACTTTCTGGTTTGAAGCAGTGGGGTTTTGTTACAGTTGGTCATTTTCTTGGGTCCTACATGAACTGCAGCATGTATGGAAAGATATTTCTGAAGGCTTTGTTTTAACGTTCAAACAGGAAAACAGCAAAAGAGAGCTGGTAGTTTATAAATGAATCATTTTTCACTTGAGCAGAAAACATTGAAAGAAGTGAAATAAGAGGAAGTGGGTAGATAGAGTATTGGGTCAAAGATGCAAACAAACAGCAAGAGGAGTGTGCAAAAATGATACTCCATAAACCAGTGTTCTGAAGGGGCAGGGGGGCAATATGTGTAAAGCCTAGCACCCCATTCTGCAAATATGGAAGAAGCAAAAAGTAAGTCAGCTAAAGAGGAAATAAAGATAACGTTATTTAGATGGGAAGCTGCGTGCTGGGAATAGATTTACATAGCAACTACTGTGCTGGCATGCTGGGGTTGGATTGCTTTAGCAATGCTGTTTGCTGTATTTATACAATATAATTAAGTCTAGCAACCAGCCCCCTTTCCAAGCAGTTCTTAAGTTAGAGCACACTGTCTTCTCTTAGATGAGACTTTTTTTTTGCATTGTGTGTTTTCTGCTTTGCTACTCTTCCATTAGTCACAGCAGTTGTAATAGATACGTATAGATAGGACTTTTGCCCTAAGGGCTTCTGAGAGCATCTGTTCAATGTCAGTGAGAAGTAAGCTGGACTTAACTGATGTTTGACCTAATCAGTCAGGTTTATTATGTTAGGAGAAGGATGAAAGCAGTCTTCAGGCAAAAGCTGACTTAGGCATTTCGTGCCTGCTCTTAACTTAAGATTCCGAGGGTATCCAACTAATTCTAGAATCACTGATACTGTTCTTTCAGGTAACTCACTCTTAGATTAGTTTCACACAGTAAGCTTTGATTTGCATTATGGCAATTTATCAAATAAACTACAAATGGCTTCATGCAACCTACTAAGCTAGGGTTTATAAACTACAGTGGCCATACACAAATATGCAAG